TTTAGTTGTCGCGTTGTCCTTCAAACCCTTTACCAGCCAGCTGATCACAGGGAACAGCAGCAGCAGCAGCAGCGCCCGTAGCAGCAGCAGCAGCAGAGGTACCTCCGAGGCCCCCACAAGCAGACTGTCCCCCCATGACAGCAGCAGCAACACCAGCAGCAGCTGCAGCAGCAGCAGCAGCGCCACCACCAGCAGCAGCAGCAGCAGCAGGTCGCCAACGAGCTTCAATATCTACTCAGACATCAGCATCAAGTACCCCTTTGCGTGGTTCTTCTTCTCTGTCTTCTCAGGGGCCCCCGGGGCCCCCAGGGGCCCCGGGGGCCCCTTGTGGTGGTTCTCGTGTTTCCTTTGGTTGTGGGGTTGGTGGGGATCGTCTCCCTTCGTTAGACTCTGCGTTTGCACCGCATGCAGAAGAAGCAGAAGAAAGCAGCTTCTCTCAGCTCTGTAGATACACCTCAGAGGTGCTGCTGGCGGGGGCCCCCCAGCTGGGGAGGCCTTTCTTGGGGGGCGGTGCTGTTGATGAGCTGCAGCCGGCAGAGCTGCTGCAGTGTGAACAAATGCTGCTTGATGATGAAGAACTGCAGCAGCAGCAGCAGCAGCAGCAGCNAGCTGCTGCAGTGTGAACAAATGCTGCTTGATGATGAAGAACTGCAGCAGCAGCAGCAGCAGCAGCAGCTGTTGCTGCAGCAGCAGCAGCAGCAACAGCTGCAGCAGCAGCAGCAGCAACAGCAGCAGCAGCAGCAGCAGCAGCAGCAGCAGCAGCAGCTTTATGCTATCTCTTCTGCTATCCCTGCGGACTCTACGAGCCCCCCTCCTGTGCTGCAGCTGCCTATACACTCGGAGATGGTGGGCCTGCCTCCATCGTTGTTGCTGCCGCATATATCCTATCGTCTTGCTGCAGCAGCAGACCGAGAGCAGCTGCAGCAGCTGCATGCAGAGACCTTTCCCTTTATGTATAACGAAGCCTTCTATTCTTACATATGCTCGGGCAGGGGCTACGCCCTCGTAGCCACAGTACGCCGCAAAGACATCACCAGCATCAAGCAGCAACTCCAGCAGCAGCAGCAGCAGCAGCAGCAGCAGCAGCAGCAGCAGGGGGAGGGGGAGGGGCAGCAGCACGGGCACAGCAGCGGGCAGCATGCAGCCTCAGATGGTGCCACCCGCAGCTGCGGTCCATCTGCAGCAGCAGCAGCAACAACTGCAGCAGCAGCAGCAGCAGCAGGTGCAGCAACAGCAGCAGCAACAGCAGCACCAACTACTGACCGGCTGTCATCTTGGTTTTCCTCGTGGCAGTCTACAGCAGCCTCAACTGAGCAGCAGCAGCAGCAGCAGCTGCTGCTGCTGCAGCAGCAGCAGCAGCAGAGAGAGGAGGAAGAGCTGCTGGTTGGGGTTATAACTGTCTCTCAGAGTTTAACATATATAGGCGCAGAAGATGCAGAGATAGTCCGTCGATGGGTGCAGCAAAAAGAAGAAGAAATGGCTGCTGCTGCTGCTGCTGCTGCTGCTGCTGCTGCTGCTGCAGTTGCTGCTGATGATGATGCTGCTGCTGATGCTGCTGCTGGTGGTGGTGATAGTACTGATGCAAGTCGAACATCACCGCAACCAGCAGCAGCAACAGAAGCAACAGCAGCAGCAGCAGCAACAGCAGCAGCAGCAGCAGCAGCAGCGGGGACTCCTGGGGAGCCGTGCTGCATGCAAGCTGCTGCTGCTGCTGCTGCTGCTGAGGAGCGGCCGTCTAGTTGGAGTTCTTTTCTATCGGGTTTCAGCCTAGACAGCAGCAGCAACAGAGCTGCCCCAGCAGCAGCAGCAGCAGCAGCAGGAGCAGCAGCAGCAGCAGCAGCAGCAGGATATGGTGTATGTTGTGAGGAGGATGCATTGGTTGTTTCTTCTGCTGATGATACAGAAAAAGAAAAAGAAAAAGAAAAAGAAAAAGAAAGAGTGTGTAGGGATTTAGCTTATGTATTAACGTTGGCTGTTGCTGCTCCTTGTCGTCGTATTGGTGTTGCTGCTGCGCTGCTGCAGCAAGCAGTTCTGTATTTCAAGTCAGCAGCACCCCCCGCACCAGCAGCAGCAGCAGCAGCAGCAGCAGCAGCAACAACAACAACCCCAGCAGCAGCAGCACCCCCCGCAGCAGCAGCAACAACAACAACCCCAGCAGCAGCAGCACCCCCCGCAGCAACAACAACAACAACAACAACAACCCCAGCAGCAGCAGCAGCAACAACAACAACCCCAGCAGCAGCAGCAGCAGCAGCAGCAGCAGCAGCAGCAGCAGCAGCGAGGAGAGCAACTGCTTTATATCTGCATGTTGCTGACTACAACATAACAGCATTAAACTTTTATATAAAAAATAATTTTTCTGTTGTTTGTCACTTTCCTGAATTCTATGCGATAGAGGGTAAACCCTACGGCTCTTATCTCTGCTGCATGCACCTGCATGAACACAGCAGCAGCAGCAGCAGCAGCAGCAGCAGCAGCAGCAGCAGCAGCTGCGGGAGCAGCAGCAGCAGCGGGAGCAGGAGCGGGAGCAGCAGCGGGAAGGGAGTTGCAGCAGCAGGAAAAGAACAGCTGTTGCTGCAGCAGCAACTGCAGCAGCAACAAATACAGCAGCAGCAGCAAATGCAGCAGCAGCAAATACAGCAGCAACAAAAACAACAAAAACAGCAGCAAGAAGAAATAAAACAAAATACAGAAAAAACAAAAGTTTTGTCGATGGGGATAGAGTGGGCCCTCAGAGCCGTGCGCTCCTCGGTCACTGATTTCTTACACCCGCAGCCAGCAGCAGCAGCAGCAGCAGCAGCAGCAGCAGCAGCAACAGCAGCAGCAGCAGCAGATACACAAAGCAATAACAACAACCCCACCCCCTAACCTATCCATAA